TTGAACAGGCAGTGTTCGATGTTTTTCGGAATGGTAGCACGGGTTGTTTCACAGTCCGAATCGATAGAACTCCTGACGCCCAAAAGGCAATGGATGCGGAGTGGGAGAAGCTTCGGAAGAAAACATGTTGGCTCGAAGAAAAGGTTCGTGAGTACGATGATGTTGCCAACGAGGCACGCAAAAACAATGCAAAGGTCCACTTCGGACGGATCTTTGAAATCTGCTTGCAGAAAGGATCAGAGTTACCTGACGAGGATCCCAACAAGAAGTGGAAGGGTAGAAGTGTTTTTCAGGGAAACCGTGTGCGTGACGCACATCATGACCATGCCCTTTTCGCTGAGTTAGGTTCTTCCCCAGCCTCAATGGAATCAGGTAAAATCCTTGACGCGTATGGCTCGCAACCAGGCTTCTCGAAGCAGCAGGCGGACGCTAGACAAGCATATACCCAAGCACTTTTCGAAGGTATAACTACATGGGTTCGTTTGCCTAAGAATCCTTGGCCCAGTTCCTGGAAAGGCTACCGAGACCCCGTATGCCCGCTTCGATTAGCCCTCTATGGCCATCCCGATGCCGGCGGCATTTGGGAGAAGCATTGCGAGACCCAGCTTAAGTCTGTAGGATGGATTCCAATATTGCCCGAAATATGGCAAAGCGTTTTCTATCATCCTGAACTTGAGCTAATGCTCGTCGTGTGCGTTGACGACTTTAAGATGGCAGGTCCCACCAAGAACATGGCCCAAGGTTGGAAGGACATCAACAGCGTCATTGATATGGATCCTCCCGAAGCCCTCGGCCGTTACTTTGGTTGTAACCACGTAGAACAGCAACAAGTCTCCTGTCCCAAATCCGAGCACCCTTTTGCCCGTGTCTTTGAGGGAAAGCCCGCAGCAATTGCAAGGGGAAACCCATCGCCGGTCAGGAGGGAGGATTTCTGGGAAGTAGACTTAGAGGCTGGTGCAGTGGTTAGACATCATGTGTACCCAAGAAAGAAGCTGTACGTCCCAACTGAAGATGACGTATTAGCTTTTCCCATGATGGGCACCGCTCGTGTAACCGAGTTTGATTCGAAGGAAGAGTTACATGTCGACGACTTCAACCAGGGGAGTGAAGCTAAGTTTGACTGGTGGACCGGCAGAACCTATTTCCCACTTGATCGTGAAACCCCAGTGGAAGACTTCACTTACGCTCTTGCATCTTACAAGAAGAAGAATCCACGCAGCAAGACAGAAGCTAAGAACAAGGTCAAAGAAAGTAGGTTCAAGCCGCCCGAATACATCGTTAACAAACCAACCCCTTGTGTGGTCAACAAAGTCAACTCAGTAACCTACGGCATGGAGGATTTTCTTGGCACCTGTGTTGAGAAGTACTGCGAATTGGCTAAGGTAGATCGGAAAACCCTGAGGCATGCTGCTACGCCTTTTCATGAGGCCCGTGTCGCCAAGCCGGTGGATCCAGACAAAGAGCCAGCTGGTAAGCTTGCGGGTATTGCGTCACGCATCCTCATGAAGGTATTCTTTGCAGCACGCATGGCCCGCTGGGACCTTCTCCGTGCTACGCAAGCCCTCGCGTCTAGGGTTACCAAATGGTCGCCCGATTGCGACATTGCCCTATATAGGCTGATCTGCTATATAAACTCCTCCATGAACATCAAGCTAAAAGGGTTTGTAGGAGATAAAATCTCTGAGTGCAAACTATGGATGTTTTTTATGCTGACTGGGCTGGGGATGCTGATAGTAAGTCTACATCCGGTTGCATGATCGCGCTGGTAGGCCCTAACACGTATTTCCCTCTCAACGCGTTTTCCAAGAAGCAGACAAGCATCACAACCTCATCAACGGAATCAGAAGTTGTTGCAGCTAACCATGGAGTCAGAGCTCAGGGCATGCCATCACTTTCATTGTGGTCCTTTCTCTGGAAGCAGGTTGAGATAGGCCCCGACAGAAAGGTGAAGCCCTATGACAAGCCCGACAAAGACTCCTCAATCGTAGCTAAAATCGACCCAGAATTGGATGAAATA